TCGCACCTGCATCTCGACGACGTCTCCGGTCATGAGCAGGGTTTGCCGCGTCTTAGAAAAATTGAAAGTTAAAAAGGAATCAGTGTCGGGGAACCATTCACAATGTTTGCATGAAAAATCCCCCGCGAAAACCTTTTTTTTCTGTTACAAACACTATGGTACCTGAATCCCGATTAATTCATAAATATGAATCGTTAAGGGTCAATTTCCTGCAATCCTTCAAGATTAAATTTGCCTCCGAAAATCTTTCTAACGATGACCTGGAAGATTGCCATGATTGAGTGCCACCATTTCTGTTCTAAGATTTATTCAGTATAATAATACAAATGTTCACCCCAACAGAGGTGGACATACAGTTTTAGCGACCCGAAGAGCTCATTTTCAACCGAGGCGAAGCACTACGATAAAGACTTTCCGTTCCCAATAAATAATAATAAGAAAAAAACATCTCGTTCCCGACATTATGAAATTTTTTCGTTTGTGGGGAAAAAACCTGGGGAAAAAAATGATTTTGACAAAATAATTTAGAAATTGATATTAAGAATAATTCATAACAAAATCTATTTCATATGTACCCATAATTTTTTTTTCATAATTACTGATTACACACGAATATTACAGAAAAAAATAATTTGCTATATTATCTATATTTGTGCCTTTTATTTGTCTTGAATCGTGACTGAAAGGAGCTAGATGAAATTACAAAAGAATTTCACAATGTCTTTATTATCATAGCGTTGTTGGTAATAGTTGAAAATGATACATCCACGTGAACCTGCTTATATGAGATCGAAGGAGTCTCTGTTTTCAACAGCCGTATACATCTAACTGCGTCATCGCTAAGTTTCCTTGTGGACCACGAGCTCTGTTCCTTGTTTGCACGTTATCATGTTCACACAATCGCAGACATTATTTGTAAGGGTGCCCTTTGAAATGGCACATTTTCTCGATGTTTTAGCGAGTACTCCGCGGGTATATGGCTTGTTCTCACATCAGCATATTATAATTTTCCTCGAGTTCACTCATCGCTTTCCCACATGCACTTCTCGTTCTTTGCTGCTAACTTTTTTTGCACTCTAATATGGTGTTGTTTTTGTCTTTCTAAACATCGAGTTTATTTTTGACATTCAATGAGATCGCTTGAATTTTGAATTTGATGACGGTTCGAATTTATCCACTTTTACAGTGATCAACATTGCGTTCGAGTAGAGTTACTAGTAATTACAAGCCTGATTTACATTTTTCTTGCGGTGTTTTTCGTCAATGTATTAAATATAAGTGCTTTGGGAAATAACATAATTATATTGCGCGAGTGAAAGAGTTTGGTGAGACTGTCACAACACGTTTTATTTATTTCCAACGCGCGTGGTTGGCGCCTCTGATTGCGTTTATTTTGTATTTTTGTTTTCAAAATGTATCACTGGCTGCGTTTGTTTTGTTTTCCTCAACAAATTAATTAATAATATCTGTTCCGAGATCTCTTTCATTTTTCGTCCGGCTGCTGCCAATCCAATAATTCGTCGCCGCATGTACTCAGACAAGCGATTAATCGTCACAGTCATTATACTAGTAGTTTAAGTCCAATTGATTTGTAGAAATTCAGCTATGCGATAATTATATGTGCAGTTTTGTTTTGCGCACCCAGACACGAGCAAAAGTTAACCAATAGATTTTCTGAACTACAGCATTCGTATTACTTATGCAAATTGAGTAAGGGTCATAGTGTGAGTTGCGTTCGAAAATAACAAAGTGTCAAATTATTTTGAGCGCCGTTCGGAATAAATTTAGTCAAAATCACACACAGAAACACACACACAACACACAAATACTAGTACTCAATACATATCGCGATTGACCAGTTATATAGCTGCTTGAACTACACACACAAGGACGTAAATATGTAAATACAGGTCACAGTTCGACTTGCGTAGCAAACGTTACAATGTGTCTAGTGATTTGAAGGCGTCTTTGTTCCAAAACAGAGAAGCAATAGGCGTTGTGTTTTGAATCGTCATTAAAACCTAAATTTATTACGAATAAAAACGTAAGTTTATACATACAATGTACGATCATTGTTACTCCAGCGGTCGGCTGGCAAGCGGACGATGTTTCTGAAGCCAGCCATAGCAGGAGTGAGCGAGTGAACAAAAGCGAGCGAGCGAACAAAAGCGAACGCGAGCGAGCGGAAAAAAAGCGGTCGGTTTCCGGTCGGAAAGCAGCGAGCGGTCGGAAATTAAGCGATAAGCGGTCGAAAAAAAAGCGATAAAAGCGGGAGGTTGGGCGGAATGAGTACTGTACTAATCATCACATTTCAATAAAACTTGGTACATAGATGTCATAGGACACTGCACAAACCTGATAGTTTTTAGGGTAATATCAGTATATATTAATTATCTAATTTGCATAATTAATTAATTTTCAGCTTTTGATATTTCAAGTAGTAATCATCACATTTCAATGACACTTGGTACATAGATGTCATAGGACACTGCACAGACCTGATAGTTTTTAGGGTAATATGAGTACATATTAATTATCTAATTTGCATAATTAATTAATTTTCAGCTTTTGATATTTCAAGTAGTAATAATCACATTTCAATGACACTTGGTACATAGATGTCATAGGACACTGCACAGACCTGATAGTTTTTAGGGTAATATCAGTATATATTAATTAGCTAATTTGCATAATTAATTAATTTTCAGCTTTTGATATTTCAAGTAGTAATCATCACATTTCAATGACACTTGGTACATAGATGTCATAGGACACTGCACAGACCTGATAGTTTTTAGGGTAATATGAGTACATATTAATTATCTAATTTGCATAATTAATTAATTTTCAGCTTTTGATATATCAATTAGTAATCATCATATTTCAATGAGACTTGCTACATAGATCTTCTAGGATTATGCAGACACCTGATTAATTTTAATTGGATATTAATCAATTAATTAACATAATTAATTAACACTGATATCTCAATTACTGATCATCACATTTGAATAAAATTTGGTACATAAATGCTCTAGGACAATAGACAGGCCTGATTCATTTTGGGTTAAAATTTGTTCATATTAATTCTCTAATTAGCATAATAATTCATAATTTTTTTGTTCTGTTCTGTTCATATTAGTTACCTGATTTACATAATTAGTTTTCAGCTTTTCCATCAATATCTCATGTACTAGTAATTTTGAATTAATTTTTAATGTGTCTTCAATACTCTCAGCACACGGGAGTTCTTTCTAAGCTTTTTTTGATTGGTAAATATTTATGCTTATTAATCACCTAATTAACATAATTAATTAACACTGATATCTCAATTACTGATCATCACATTTGAATAAAATTTGGTACATAAATGCTCTAGAACAATAGACAGGCCTGATTAATTTTGATTAATATTAATTCTCTAATTAGCATAATAATTCATAATTTTTTTGCTCCGTTCTGTTCATATTAGTTACCTGATTTACATAATTAGTTTTCAGCTTTTCCATCAATATCTCATGTACAAGAAATTTTGAATTAATTTTAATGTTTCTTCAACACTCTCAGCACACGGGAGTTCTTTCTAAGCTTTCTTTGATTATTTCCTGTAATAGCTACCCCCTTCTAATACAGAGATCATGGTACATGTACTGTGTTTGCTCTGTCAGTAGTGCATCTACATTTGTAATAAATTGCACGGGATCAACAAAATTTGTTGCATACTGATCAAAACATGATGTATTTTGACCATAGACAAACCATTTGTTGTTTTCGTGAATGCATTTCAAGACAGTATTGATGTATGTTCACTTCCTTGGGTTTCAGGTGTTTTTCTAGAAAAAAATTGCAAGAGGGAGCACTGCAATTCAGCAGCACCACCAAGTGTGGGAGATAGGGTTCTTCCTACCAGGGAGTGGAGTTTTTGATAATTCTAAGTTAAAGTGGAGCATTCTATGACTTCCTTGGGGCCAAAATTACTATCGGGCAGGTCACAGTTGAAGACTGTGGCCACATGTGATCCCTGGTCAATCAGAATTTCATGGTTGACAGAGGATCTGCTCCCCAGGGTAAGGGGGCGCATGGCCATGGCATGAGGGCGCTGCGCCCCTGTTCCCTTGTTTAAAAAAATCCCTGGGTTTAAGGGGAACTAAGAACTTTAATTTTAATGAACATTGGTAAAATAAATCCCATCAGTTAGGAGAGCTATTTGTTACTCTCCAGACTTTTTCAAAAAGAAAGGCCTGGGTCTAGTCGCAGTTATGTAATGCGTTTATCCCTGTATACTATATTGATAGATCACCCACACTGTAAAATTAAGGTATTTAGAACGATATACAGGTAAAGTGTTGCCCAAATTTTGATCTAGTCTTGAGCTTCAACCATTTCAGTACTAGATACAATGTAACCTGTATTTATCCATTTGAAACCTGCTATCAAAATCATTATATCAATACATATATCATATTATATTTATCAATGTTTTCATCGTTCTTTCCAGCAATGCTTGGATCGTGTATAGCCATATTTTTTTTGGCTGTTTTCTACGAAGGCCTTAAAGTGCTCAGAGAGTCTCTGCTTCGAAAAAATGTTGTAAATGTCCGCTACAGTTCAATGCCAGTCGGAAAACAAGGAGGCAGTGATACAGTGCTCACGGAAACGCATGGACATGGAAGGTATAAAGGGACTTATGATATGTTGTCTTTGTTTTTTCACACAGAATATTGCTGAAATGATTTTGCATTTGCTCTATTACTGTAGAATACTTTATTTTCGCTTGGAATTTATTTTCGCTATTTTCGCTGAAGGGATGATTCCGTGAAAATAAAATTCAGCGAATATACTTTTTTTCCTATATTTTACATTCAACTCATCAAAAATCAGTGAAAATAAATTCCATACAAAATGCACGAAAAGCCTTTTCAGCGAAAACTAATTCCAACGAAAATAAAGTATTCCACAGTAAATTTATTTTAATCACAGACACAGCTATATCATTTGCATAGGCACATATGCTACTAATTTGGTACATGACAAGAAAAGTGCTTGCAATTAAGTTTCACTGGTAGAAAAAAATTGTATTGTTTAATGAAAATGAGTTGCTATTGTTGGCAATTCTACCCAGACCAGATACCAGTAGAGTCATCAGGAGACTGGTGTGGTCATGAGAATTGTCAATTCAATGACACTGTCTGCAAGTTATCTTTTTACATACTTATAGATCTCAAAAGATAATTATTTGGTATATAGTAATATTTGTTCTTTTTTCTTTCTTTCAGAGCTCGTATACTTAGCCTGGCACATTTATTACAATCTGTCCTCCACGTGGTGCAAATAACTATTAGTTACTTCCTGATGTTAATATTTATGACGTACAATGTATGGTTGTGTATAGCGGTTGCGCTCGGTGCTGGAGTGGGCTATTTTGTCTTTGGTTGGAAAAAGACGGTTATTGTGGATATAAATGAACACTGTCATTAATTAAGATTTATCTTTCATACCTGAAGTTCTTGGGCATTTGACGTTGTGTAAAAGCTGATTCAAACTGTCAGATTAATCTTATAAGACAAATCTTATCAGACATCAGGTTGTTCTTGTGTGTTCCATCAGATCTAATGGTGCCATAGAAGGCTGTACAATCTGTACTGATGTGTTCCATCAGATTGTCTTATCAGATAAATCTGACGGTGTCATAGAAGGCTGTACAATCTGAACTGATGTGTTCCATCAGATTGTCTTATCAGATAAATCTGACGGTGTCATAGAAGGCTGTACAATCTGTACTGATGTGTTCCATCAGATTGTCTTATCAGATAAATCTGACGGTGTCATAGAAAGCTGTACAATC